AGGAGCTGAAAATCAACTAAGTGAGTTCCATTATTCCAATTCATAATTACCTATTTTTTGCCAAATCTTTTCTTTAAATACAACCTGCGAATCGCATTAATCGCGAATTTGTTTGTTTGTACAAGGCCAAGTTAATATCACGTAGTTAAAGCAAAGTGATTAATTTCTTGGAGAATGAGAGGGGGAAAAGAGGGAAATTTATATAATAAAACAGAGAGTGATCATTAAAAAGTGTCTTTTTTTTATGAGAAATACTTAAATTTATACTAAAATTATTGTCGTGTATGGTCTTTTTAATTTCTTAATTAGCCGTTTGTTTTGCTTACTATTGTTCAAGTCATTTAGAGGTTATCTGTGTTGTTGTTGTTGTTCTCAAGGTAAAGTTCCCTGTTCAAAATAAATATAAGTGAGAGTTGAAAATCTTTGATATAAAATCAAAAACGATTAATATTTCAATATATTCAAAATTCTCTTTATCTGTACTAATGCAAAGAAAATAAAATAAATCCTTGCAGTCGACTCATCGTTGACCACAAAGGGAAAACAAGATTCTATTCTATTGAGGTTTACTAGAGTTTAATTAATATAGTGTTTTTAATATAGACGAAAACGTCTCGATTTTTTTTTAGGTCTATTAAGCAAAATTTCATTAAAAGGTGATTGAGGTGAGAAAAAGTTAATAATAATATCATTATTAATAACTAAGACATTCGATTAACGACAGAAATTTTTTTAGATAAGAGGCTCTAGAATGAACGGTGACACAGGCAGTGGAGGGGAGGAGTCCGGATGTCCTCGAACTGATGGCGCGGATAACTCTCATTATAATAATGAGACCCAATCAAATACAAATCCAGACATTCAACAAACACACGTAGAAAATAAACATAGTCATCAACATCACACTCCCGCCGAACAGGATGTTGGTTCGCTTATTGATTTCTTGTCAGGTAGTACATTGCAACAGGATAATACAATCCAAGGGGGTCAACTCCCACTTCCTTTAATTTCTGGGCAACCTCAAAGTCTATCCGTTTTGAGAAAGAGAAGTCGCACCCTTCGCCAGACTTTAAACAAGTCTTCCGATAGCAATACTTCTGAAAGTATGTTGCCTAAAAGAGTTCAAATAAATAATGTCCCTTTACCTGTAGTAGATGTTGAGCATGTCACTCCATCGACCTCTAAAGATGTGATTATTAATCCTCCAATTGTTTCTCCATTAACTAGTCAGGTGTGGGATCAAAAAGATTTGATCTGGATTAACGACAGGCTTTCCCAGACAAACACTTTCTCCAGCCATAGCATTCCACCTTACGTTCTTCTGATGGAAAGTACGGTGGCCGGTAGGAATGTGGGAAAGTACGACCCGATAAGCATAATCGATCTGCTTTTTTCCCTGATTGAGGGCAATAAAACTATAACTCGAAATGGTAGGAATCAACTCAAAATCTCATGTGAAGATCGGTATAGTGCAAATTCTTTGATTACATCAAGTGATCTAATCCAAGCAGGTTTTAAAGTTTTTGTTCCTGATTCCTTTCTTCGGAAAAAAGATTTCACTAATTGTTTTCCGTATTCTCGCTCGATCAAGGACATAGTCAGACTGTGCTCTAGGGAAGATCTAGTAAACATCTCAAGTATTAAACGCGTTGTCGATGACGATAACACTATTTACGATAAGGTTGAGTTTACTTTTGAAGGACCTACTGTCCCTCGAAATATTAAAATAGGCGACTTCATAATACCCATTACACCATCAATACCACGTCCTCGAAGATGCTATCGCTGCCAGCGATTTTGCCATACAATGGATCAATGCAGATCGTCGTATCCCTCCTGCGAGCTCTGTGCTGGGAGACATTCTTCTAATATGTGTCCCAGGGAATCGCATAGGCGTAAATGCAAAAACTGCAAAGGTGACCATCCGGCTACCTCGATGACGTGTCCTGTCTATAAGATGGAGTTTGGCATACTTAAACACAGATACATCACTAACTGTGATAGAACAGAAGCCAAACTCTTATTTTTTGCTGAAAATCCTGATCTTTATCAGGCGATTGATCGGAGACTGGATGACTCACTGAACGCCCCTCTTCCCTCTGATGCCAACGGAGCTCCTAATAACCAACCTACGGGTCAATCTACTCCTATTGCAAATTCGTTAGATGGTATCACAAGTGAAAATGATCCTATGTTGAATATTTCTCAGGCCATGCAAGAGCATGATCTGACAGCTAGATTGAGGGCAGTAAATTCCCTTCTCGACCTCAATCAAACAAAAAGTTCATTAATAACATCCCTTCAAAATAACCTAAATGAAGAATAATAAGTTGTGGGTCGGGCGCTATGGGATGGGGGAAATAATAAGAAACGTGAGTGATCGAATAATTCTTGTTTTATAATTTATAATTACGTATATATAGTTATAGAATCTTAAAGTATGGTCGTTTGAGAGTCGACTAGCTGAATAATTTTATCTTAAAATCCGAACAAGCTTTTGATAGTTAATAAGTGTATTTTTATGGCATAAAGAAATTTGCCACAATACTCGTATTGAATAATTGGGAGTACGACGAGTAGTTATATATACAAAACTCTATTTACCAATTGTCTTTTATTTTTTACTTATTATTTTATCGTTCTTGCTATTACTTATCTTTGTGTGTTTCTTCTTGTTTGAAATTTGTCTTGATTTGTTTTATCTTTTCCTCCATAAGTTTGCCTTTTGTTGCTATTTCTCTTATTGAACTTGGATTGAGCCTTCTGAGGCTTATATCTTTTGTTTAATTATTTGTTTTTTTTATTTTTTTTTAGTTATTTATTTATTTACTTTTTTTTCTCTTTTCATTTCCTTCTTTTTCTTTCTATTTTTTCTTGGTTTTTGGCAATTAGAGGTAATTAATTTAGGGGAGTGAATGATGTAACAAGAGGGAGTTTAAGGGAATAGAGGAGAAAGAGTTTTTATTTTCTGTTTTTTCCTCTTTTCTCCATTTGTGCATTACTGGAAATTTTTGCTTAAACTAAAATACTTATAAAATATATTGGTGAAACTCAGGGTCTTGCCTCGAAATTCCTCAAGATAAGTGGTGAGGCAACGACTAATTATTTTGTGTTTTGTGATTATCGGTTCGATACCAATTTTTTTTTCCCCTTTTTTTTTGTTGTTATGTCTTGTATTAATTTGATTGCTTAGTGTAATTAATAATTTTTTGGGGACGAGAATCTATTGCGCGCTCTCTACTGGAGTTCCTGTTATATTCTGTGTGAATTTCTTCCAACTCCTTTTTTTTGTTTTTTTGTTTTTTTTTGTTTTTTTGTTTTTTGTTTTGTTTTTTTTTCTCTCTTTTTTTCCTCTATTAAAATTTAAAATTTAGAATAATAGAAATATTCTTAACATGACGGGTAGAGGTAGTGTCCTGCGTTATGGAACATGGAATGCTCATAGTGTCCTCAATAAGAGAGCAGAGATTGAGGCACTCTTAAGTATTAATCAATTAGATTTTCTGTCAATAACTGAAACATGGCTTTCCCCTAAAAAAGCAATATGGCAAATTCCCGGATATATTACATTTAGATGTGATCGAGTGTCACAAGCGGGAGGGGGTACTTTACTATTGGTAAAAAGATCGCTTATAGTCTCACCTATTAAAATTCCTAATAACATTACTCAAGACATTGAGTGTGTGGGCGTAAAGATAGAAACGGTTGAAGGATATATTCAGGTCCTATCAGTCTATTCTCCGCCCAATGTAAATATTCTGCCGGAAACTTGGAAGCGACTTATTGAGAGTAGCTCTGCGGAATTCCCAGTGATAATGTGCGGCGATTTTAATGCCCATTCTTGGGTGTGGGGTTCGAGATACTGCTCCCCCAGGGGTGACCATATAAGCGAGGCCCTGGAGGAGTATGACTTGGTCCCATTAAACGATTCCGAACCTACATATATTGATGGCAATGGTAGACTGGGTGGAGTTATCGATTTGATATTCGTTTCAGCTTCTTTATGTAAAATCTCAACATCCGAAGTGACTAGTGATACTTATACATCAGATCACTTCTTGGTTTTGGCAAAACTCGATTCATCCCCTAAATATATAAAATCCAATACAAATAGATATAATTTATCAAAAGTGGATTGGCCCAAATTTTCACTATTAATGGACAGTCATACTGAGAGGAGCGTTACTAACATAGATCAAGTTCCTCTTGACTCCCTGGAACGGGAGTATGAAAAATTGGTCGATGAAATTGGAATAAATTTAGAGGAATCGGGAGCTTATCTCTCTTCTTATTTATCTGGTAAAAGAGAATCTAAGCCCTTGTGGTGGGAAAACGACTGTGATTTGGCTATAGAAAAGAGGAGAACAGCTCGAAAGAAATTCCTCTTAGCACAGACTCCTGACAATAGACAGTCGTTTAGTATTATCGATAATGAGGTTAAACAATATCTTAGGGAGAAAAAGAAGCTATCATACATGAAGTTCTGTAATTCACTTAACCCATCTATGGGCTCTCGCGAAATATGGTCGAAGGTTAGGGCATTTTCGTCTTCAACGCAACCCCTTCGAACCAACATATGTAGTGATCACAATTCCAAGATTTTCATAGATCTTCAAAATGAACTCGTCCAAGAAAATGTTATGCCAACAAATCTTCCAGCGGTGGTTGGCATTAATGATGACGAAAAATATAACGGCCCTTTTTCCTCTGTGGAATTCTATGCCGCTCTAGAATTGATTAAAAAGGATACTGCGCCTGGACTAGATTCAATCTCAAACTCAGTTATAAAACACCTACCAAGCAAAACAAAAAATTACCTCCTGTCTATTTTTAACAGATTTTTTTCACTTTCAACTTTTCCCTCCAAATGGAGAGATACGAAGGTCATTTTCTTACCCAAACCTAACGGAAAGGGCTATAGGCCCATCTCATAAACCTCAGCAATATGTAAATTATTTGAGAGATTGATATATAGGCGATTAGAACATTATATCGAATCAATGAATGGAATTCCGGTTCAGCAGTTTGGTATTCGCAAGGGAAGATCGACAACTGATTGCGTATCTACGCTATTTGCTGATATCCATCAGGGATTTATAAGGGGAAAACATACCTTCGTCCTAGCAATTGATCTTAAAGGGGCATTCAGTAATATCTTGCCCAAGGCAATATATGATCGTCTGGTGGAGTTACGAACTCCGGACAAAATACTAAATTTCGTATCTTTTTTAATACAATCCAAAAACCTATTCTTTTCATCTGACACTGGAAATCCTAAATCATCCTACATCGGAGTTCCACAGGGAGGTGTATTATCTCCCCTACTATTTAATATAGCTATCAGCAAGATTCTACAAATTATTCCTCATAACATAAAATGTTTGATGTTTGCCGATGATCTGTTGCTGTATATAAGATCTCAAAACGCTGCTGATGCTATCAAGGCATTAAAAGATACCTTAACTAATCTCAAACCATGGTTGGGTGAAGTAGGACTGTCTATTTCTCCAGGTAAATCCCAGTTGTCAGTGTTTTCAAGAAGTAAACAGAAATTCGATATTCTTAGTTTAGAGCATGATGGAGTGAGAATACCCATGCAGGAGGAGCTCCTATACTTGGGCATTTTTCTCGATAGAAGATTAACTTGGGCTAAACACATTAATGAGGTGGCTCGTCGAGCAACTTTGGCGATCAACATCATGAAAGCAATGTCTAAAATTACATGGGGAGCCAGTCCCGAATCCATGCTGTTGGTTTACAAGGGTCTCGTTAGAGCTCATCTTAAGTGGGGCTGCCAGCTCTTTTCTCTAGCTAGTAATACTCATCTCAAAAAATTGAATAGGGTTCAGAACGCTGCTATGAGAACAATTCTGGGGAGTATGCGATCAACCCCAATCAATATTATGCTATCTGAAATAGACGAACCTCCTTTAGTTTTTCGTAGAATGATGCTCAACCGAAAGCATATGATCAAAAATCTTTCTTGGACCCAAAACCCTCTTACACCTAAACTACAACTTTTGCACGAAACTAATATCTCACTGAAACATAAACGGAAGAATACATTTTATACAAAACTATCCCTCTTAGAATCATATTGCGATTCAATTCAATTCTTAAACAAAAACATGCGTACAAAAAAACTATCATATTTTAACTTAACATGGGCCGAGCTCTTAACACCTACCGAAATTGAAATAGACATTGAAACGGGATCAGATATTAAAAACAGTCAACAACCAAATAGTAAATTTAATACCCTTGTGCAATCAAAATTCATTGAATATGTATTAATTTATACAGATGGTTCAATAGACTCGAATAAAACCACGTCAGGAGCTAGTTTTGTTGTACCTATTACCAACGTAAATTTTGGAGTAAACCTGGGAGGCATTGCCTCCATTGAATCTTGTGAAATGTATGCCATTAACTCGGCTTTATCATATGCTATTTCCACAAACCTGGACAACATATTGATACTCTCTGATTCTAGATCTACCCTTAAAAAACTCAAAGAACTTTTCTTCTTAAAAGATATACACCCTTTGTTAATTAAAATGATCCAACAAATCTCTATCTTAGTGTCCAGAGGATCAAATATAAAGTTCCTTTGGATTCCCTCGCATATGGGCATTACAGGAAATGAGAGGGCGGATAGATGGGCGAAAAAATCTTTATCTCTCCCTTTTGGTCGCTCAATAGCGTATCCAGCATCAGAAATAATCCCACTGGTTAGTCAGGATTTTCAGGGTTGGAGAAAAACTCTCTGGCCGCACTATGGTGAACAACAATCATACAACAAATATTTTTACAACATAAACAACAAAACAAGGAGACCTTGGTTTCAAGGAATAGAGGCTCCCAGAAAATACATGGTCTTAATCAACAGATTAAGATCAAACCATTTACGAATCGGCTCACACTTCGAAAGGATGGGCTGGACTCTTCCCCGGGGCTGTGTCTGTGGAGCTGAAATTCAGAGCATGAATCATTTGCTTAGTTTCTGCCCAAATCTCTCTCCAGGGAGACCACACTTTTTCTCATTTCTATCTTCTAAACTGACGGACTTCGACCCTGACAGATTCGATCTGGATGTTCTAATATATAATCCCGATAAAGAAATCGTTACTGAAATTGGTAAATTTTTCGAAAGTGGCAACATCCAGATCTAACATGAAAACTGGCAGGGACGAATTCCGGCAGCCTTAACTTGAATATTTATGTTAATTTGGTATTGATGAAGAGAATGAGGATCGGATGACTTGAGGGTGGTAACAACGCACTGGTATAAAAAAAAAAAAAATAAATAAATAAATAAATAAATAAAAAAAAAAAAATTTTTAATCTAAATATTAAAAATTTAATTAATTAAATCAGAAAAATATCTGGGTGTCGATGTGAGCGGTGCAAACAAGCATGCGAAAAGATCATACATAAAAATAGTGATATATTCTCATGCTATGTACCAGCAAGCACCCGCTATGCATTCAAAAAATCCCGCTCTTACCCATTCCAACCTAACCCTTCCCTTGAATACTCATGAAATAACTACAAACCAGACTACTGACAATAGGAGTGCCGACAGAGTATAAATCAAAAAAGAAAAGAAACTTTTGTCCAACATAAGAATTAAAATTTCTATGGTATATCCTTCCATCTGAAAACAATATTATACAACTATTTGTATCCGCAGACATTTTTTCAATAATTTGCTTTTCCTGAATCAACTACTTTCAAACTGAGATATAGAATATCTACAACTACCAAAGTTCAACACTTAAACACACTGGACTTAAAATCGCACTGGACAAATTAAACTAGATGAACTCAGCAATTACCAATCAACTATACTAATTGAACTGGCTATTTGTAATACAAGAGGCCATTAAAACAAAAAGAAGAAGAAAGTTCGTCTGTTGCAGTTTGTGACACACACACACAGTTTGGTTTGTGTATTCCCCAAACTCAGCCGTTTGTGGATACTACAACCGTGGCTCATAGATGGCGTAGGAAATCCTGTAAATTTCACAAGAATTTTTTTTCCGTGTATATATGTTGTTTACCAGGAATTCTCTCTGCTCCTTCACACTGAGAAAACTGGATAGCAAAAGTTATAGGGTTAGGTTTTAAGTGTTAGCCTGATTCTCTAGATAGTTAACTTTTTCCTCTGAGATAGTCAACTTAATCATTAAAGTATCTATTTATCCCTCCGAGATGGTTACAAAACATTTAACCTCAAATATAGTCTGTTTGTTCCTCCAGATAGTTTGTTGAATACTCCATTTTTCTCTGTGCATTATTGAAAAAGTTAAGATTAACTTTTAGGAAGTTAAAGTTAACTACTGGAAAAGTTATATTTAACTTTTATAAAAGTTAAAGCTAACATTTGAAGAAGTTAAACATCTATCAAATCTAGTAAAGCCTCACAATGTGGCTGAAATCATGTGATTAATTCACTGAGTCAGAATGCCAGACTGCTAGTGCAGAAGCTTATGACTGTAACCGTTTTTAATGAATTCTGTGTAAGCATGAACTGTAGATGCAAAAGTGTCATTAGTCAATTTCTTTCCAACAACTCAAGTAGAAGATTTTAGATGGTAACTGTCACATTAGTAGACAGAGTATTAAAGTTAACATTTGGAAAAGTTGAATTTACTTTGTAGAAAATTCAAGTCAACTTTAAGAAACGTTATATATATATATATAACATTTTTACATTAATATTTTTAAACTTAATAAGATGTATTCTTGTGACAGTGGAAGTCTTCATACAAATATTCACTGATCTTTACGTGAATAATGACGTTGCCTGAAGAATCAACTTCATATTGCCTTGTTATACATGACCGTGTAGTATAGTACGAACCAATCATTGGGATTATTAATAAGTTATAAGAAGTGGAGAGGGAAACAAAGTGGTGGGAGGATGAAGTGGAAAGGTATGTAAGACATATTTCTGAAGCGGATACTCATTTCTATTCTAAAATGGAGTTCATAGTAGACGTTCAAGGTTTTAAAAAACCCTGCAATGAGTTTATTTTCAAAGAGTTGGCTATAGTTCCTCTGGAGGCAGATGCTCAACCAAGAGTTTACCTCTTTGAACCACCTTGTGCTTGGAATTCTCTACCTGGACGTTATAAAAGTGAAAACCTGCGGTTAACAAATAACTATCATTCAATCCCTTGGATGGTTGGAGATGTGTGTTATGATGAAGTGCGAACCATTTTACAATATGCATTACGAGGAGCAAAAACTATCTATGTTAACGGTTGTGAAAAAAAACAGTGGTTAGAAAAGTATATAATGAATGTATACAATTTAGAAGAAATTGACTGTCCAGCGTTAAAGAATATTAAAACTGAATTTTTATCACTTACATGTACTCATCATATTACACAAACTGAAAATTGTGCAGTAAACAATATATTTAAGCTTCGAAATTGGTTTTTAAATGTAACGAGTGAACTGAGAAACTTCTCAAATGGTATCGACGAAGTGGATGATGATGATGTGAATACTAATTTAAAATCATTTTATGAAAATTATGAAACATTATTGTAATAAGTTTAATTTTCTACATACATATGAATAAATGAATTTTATAATTTTAAAAAATGTTGTCTTTCTTTCTTTCTTGATATACCTACTCCTTTAATATTATATACTTGAAACATTTTTTTTCCTTTAACTTTAATAAAAATTTACTTATATAATTTTATATAAAATACAATTAATTAAAAATTATTTAAAATATGAAGGTAGAATAATAAAACAATCCATTTAAAAGTATTTTTTTTTCAATATTTAAAACCTTTAAATATTTACATAATTTTTTACAATATAACCTTTGAATATATATTTTATTCAAATTCAATAACATTAAATTTACCACCAATATACTTTAATCGCAACTTCTCCAATTGCACGGCTTCTTCCATCATTGTGAAGGAGGTAGGGTCATCTTCAAATAGTTTTGAAAACCTTGCCGGTAGAAAAGTGGTAAATGTAGCATCCAGGTCTACTACAATCCTAGAACCATATTTCGTCTGCACCTTGTTTATTTTAGTTACGTTGTATAACTCATTCACAGTCAATTCAGAAAGCGGCTTCGTTGGTAGAAATCTCTCCATGCGACCAGTGGCGTTGACTTTTTGGAAGTCCATTGTTTTAATATCTGTAAGCAAAGAAAAAAAGATGGACTTTTTAATATTAAATTTAAAAAACTAATTTGGAATACAAAATGTTTTTATTGGAGAAATGAAATTTACCTATCAAATGAGAAGATGATGCTGTAGTTGTTGAAGCTGCTAGTACTGCTAATGCTGCTGTAGATGCTGAAGCTGCTGGTACTGCTGATACTGCTAATACTGTTGCTGCTACTGCTGGAAATTTTAATAGAAGTGTCGAATCGTTGCTTCCAACCTACCTTATATCCCTTAAACCCCTACTCTTCTTCTTCAACTCCCACTCTTTAACCCCCACTTTAACGACTGCGCACGCAACTACCTCAAATGAAGAGTTATTTAGAAGACGTGTTCAAACTCGCATAAAATGACGTCACTAAAAGGGTTTTTAAGAAATGCCTTTGTTCTCATCTACAGTCAGGTTAAAACCTGTCTGAAGGTTTTTTAGACAATGTCTTTATTCTATTCAAGATGCAGGTTGAAACATGCTTTAAAATTTTCAAACAATACTATTGTTATCTTGAAAAAAGGCCAGTTGAAACTTGCTTACATATTTTTGGACAATACATTTATCCCTATGGTGTTATAGTATTAGTGAAGCAAGCTGTGAGAGTCAGACAGACAGGTCTGACGCATGGAACTTTCACTCACTCAACGCGGTAACCGTACGCGCACTTTTGCTGCGCACTGGGCCTTACCACACCACCCACCACCACCCACTCCCACTACCCACAACGCCTGCACGGTATCTCGCGAACGCTTAGTCCCTCGCGCTTCTCTATATGATTTTTGAAATTTCTGGTTTATACTAAGTGGGTGGTGGTGGGTGGTAGTATTGGAAATATATATATACAGTCAGTCCCCGCTACCTGCGCAACTCGCAACCTGCACATCCCCGAAACCTGACGCTCTGACGACATAGACCAAACTCGCTATGTGACTATACTCACTTTCACTTTTACCGCGTGCTCAGTGCCGAAAAGTGTCTCAGTACATAAGTTTCTCTTGACGACTAAAAATTTTTGTTGTGCCACAAATTAATTTAAAAAATTGAATTTTTTCTTTTTTCTTATCAATTACTCATTTGATACATATATTTTACATAAAGTATATTAAAATTAATAAATTTATCTAAACATTTCTGTATTTATAAAATATACACGCACTGAGAAAAAAGAATATTCATTTTAAAAATAAAGACCAGTTTGAGTGATTTTGTTTAATTAAACAGAGTTTGTAAGTTTCATTTTAATATATATGAAAAATATCTATCACTCTTATTTAAAAATATTATTTGCTTGTATATGATTTGTTTCATTTAAAAAAAAATTATATTTGAATTAAACATAAAACACGTTTAAGTACATAACAGTTTTGTACCAAACAAAATTTATGTTTAAATGAATTATATTTTATCAACTAAAAAATATGTTTGAATTAAACTTAAATATGTTTGACTGTATAACAAAGATAGTGAATTAAACATATTATGTTTCAAATTAGAAGTATCGTTTTCTCAGTGCGGGCGCCTACAATTGTATGCGATATAAGGGTGTATACATCCCTGAAAGTGGTGGGAAATGAATGGTGGGAGAGCGGCTGACTGGACTGTCAGGTAGCGAGTTCGGGGGAAAGGAAAAATTCTGAAATATGTGCAGGTTGCGGGGACTCACTGTATATATAAAGGAAAAAACCCAGCAAACACTGTTACAGATCTGTTACAGAACTGTGACAAATAATTGAAGAACATGTGATGTAACTGGTGACTCACAGGGGACTCACTGGGTACGCAAAATGTCGTAGTCAGAAGGTTGTCACAGTTAAGTAACAGATCTGTAACATGGTGACGAAGATACTTGTCACAGTTCTAGAACAGTTACAAATTTCTGTTACTCATATCTGTCATTAAAAAATATTTTAATTAAAATTAAAAAAATATTCCACGCTGTTCTCGCATGTCATACATACCCGGAATATTTATACATGTC